ATAAAAATACTATTATAAGTAAAAATATTTATAATTTAAAATATGAAAAATTAAATATTATTTTAATTCACTTGTATATATTAACTCTGGATATTAAATTTAATTAAAAATAATAATTATTAATATAAATTTATGTTAATGTTTAAAAGGTTTTGATAATTAGTTTTAAACAGGAATAATATACGTTTATTAATTTGGCCGAATTAGTTCAATTTCCAATAACCCAACAATTATTTTCTCAAGTAGTTCAACCGTTGGATAGATACGAAATTGTCAAATGATATTTTTGGGCCTCAAATTTTTTAAAGAAAATTATTTTGGCTTTTAATTTGTTTTTCTTATCTCTTTTAGCTCTTAAATTTCTAACTTTTTTAAACTAACTGACGAAAAATTAATAATTATAATATACATTATATTATATGCGTCCTACTAAATTTGTCTCTTGACTTTTCAAAAGTTGAATACATAAACTTTGTCCATTATTATTTTAATTTTAAATATTTTAATTTTATAAAATATATATTTCAAAACTACTTGATTTAAAATTTTTAAAATATTTTTTTCATATTTTTATCAATAATTAATTTTAAAATAATAATGACTCAAAATTAAAAAGATTGACCATAAAAAAGTTAATAAGGGACGATTTAATTAGGATAGGAGTAACATATTACTATAAGAATATATCTATAACATCAATTAAAATATATTAATCTTATAAAAATATTTATAATTTATTTTATAAACTTGAAAGATTAATAGAGAAATAAATTAATAGTAATAAAGATATGTTTATAATTTATATTATAAAAATACATTTATATCATTTTATAATATATATTACATTTATAAAATATATTTTTATACTTTATCTTATAAGAATTTTATTTTATAATTTTTTTGGTACAATTTTATTTTATAATTTATTGTTGATTAAAATATGCAATTATGAGCATATATTTATAATGTTATTATAAATTATAACACAAAATAAAGTGATCAATTATATTACATATGTCATAGATATTAAACTGTAACGAAAATAAATTATATATATCATAAGTTATATTTATAACTTGATGAGAGATAAAATTATAATTACTTAAAAGAATTGATTTAATATTTGATCTATATAAACTGTTAAATTTGTTATCTTGGTAATTTTATTAACCGGCGCATTATTTCTTATCGACTTTTACATAAAAGACCAATTTGTTATTTTTAAGTTGATGTCTATTTTGTAATTTTTCATAATTATAAGATTGAACAATTTTCTATAATTGAAAGATTATGTACATATTTTATCTTATATATTTTTATAAGGTTTAAGATAAAATTAAGTGTCTAAATTATACACTAAGTTAATTTTTGGTGTCTAATTTTTTTTTATTAAAAATATGTATCTAATATTTTATTTGTTATAGTTTCATGTGTGTATCTTGTGCCGATTATTTAAAAAAATCATTAAGTGACACGTCTAAAAGTTATATTTATTTTAAAATTATATTTTTAAAAAAATATTTTTAAAATAAAAACATTGTTTAAAAAAATTAAAAAAATATATATCCCGGCGTCATCCCTTTCCTCCCTCTCGCGCAGTCTAGATTGGAAATCAAAACGTTTTCTCTTCTGTCATTTTTTTAATGTTTAAAAGTTGGGATCCACGCTATGAAGATAACGCCTGGAATTCATAACTAATCCGCTTGATGAATTCCTCATCTCTTCATTTTGGTTCGTATTCACTGAGCATCGCTTCCCTCTCCTCCTTTACTTTCAGTTTACGATTTTGTTCTTTGCACTTATTTGATTTCCAACAGTAATTATCCCATGTAGAGAAAAGAAGTACCTCTGGATGGAGTGCCAAAACGATGCACTTTAATCCAAGTTCACCTTCCAAAATCGATGTTGAGATTGGATGATACAAAACGTGATGGTCTATCAATGGATGAGCAGCGACAGAGGCAAATAATCGTCTGTGGCTGATAATAAAGGTTGAAATGAGAGGTTTAAGTATTTTGGAATTCTTTTGTAATTTCAATGAAATTTGGATATTCTTTAAAAATTAGTTGCCACGGCCAGCCCATGAGCCAGCAGATGAACCGGCTTCAGAACCTGCGCCAGAGCCGAATCGAGAGTTTCCATAGGAATCAGCAGACGATCCTGCTCGAGAAACTACAAGCATTTGGTATGTTGTTTATTAAAATTTTATACTTACTAAATATGAGATTTAAATTTTACTAATTATATACATTTACAAATGAATAATGACTCATTCATATTTTAATATTTATGATATTTTTATTTAATATGTTGCTTATTATTTATGTTAGAATGTTATTTATTATTATAAATTAAATTTAAATGTCGAGTAAAAAATAAGTGATATAAAAGAATAATTATATGTTAAAAAATTTTAAAAATAAATTGAATTGAATTAGGTGACTAAAATGGAACAAAAATTTAAGTTTAGTGATTATTTAAAAAGAAAAATACTTGGATGATGAAAACAGAACTATGAAAATAGATGAATGACTAAATATGTAATTTTCCTATGCTATTTTTAACGGAGTTAACATTTTGGGGAAAATGAGGTAACAATTTAAATTTTAAAGGGCAAAACATCCCAAAAAATACTTTAGATGACAAATCGATACAAATGACATACTTTAATGGGTTGTGGTGAATTTAAGACAAATTAATAATTTTTTAAATTTTTTTACGAAATGAAAATTTAAAAGATATAAACATGGAACACATCACTTAATGATTTTTAACAACCATTATAACATATTCACCTAAAAATATAATACTAAAATATTATATATTTATTTTGAGTAAAAAAATCTTTATGCGTCTGTTTTTTTTATTAATTTATGGTGGTTACAAGTGGTAATATCTGCTATAAAGACTTTCAATCATTTGTCAATAAACGCTCAAATACTTTGCAGTCTCTAGTGCTCGAACCTGAAACCTCTAGAAATAACAATCATTTCTTTAATCACTAAGGTATATTGTAATATCCCAAAATTGGGGCTAATGACTAAAATAGAAATTTTGAAACTTTGAAGTCAGATTTTGAAAGATTTAAAAGTTCAGGGATTAAATTGGAATATTTAGTGGATTTTAGTTGGTAATTATTAAAAGAAATAAAGGGTAAAATGGTCATTTGACCAGAAAGATTTTTATCTTTCTTTTGGGGCTATAAAACACATGGAAAGGGTGAGAAAGAAAAGAAAAGTTTGGAGCTTGGGTTATCTCCTTCCTCTTCTCTTCCCGTAAGCTCCATGGCAAAGGTAAGTGTTGAGTTAATCGATCTATGAATATAGCCAAGAGGGGGGTGAATTGGCAAATAAAAATTCCAGTGGAAGCTTGTGCAGAAAATTGAAAGTAATTGCACAACGATTTAGAGTGGTTCGACTTTCTCAACCAAAGTATACGTCCACTACCTTAGCTATCCACACTAAGGATTTTCCACAAATTCACTAATTTGTCTTTCTTTTGAGGACAAAGAGTAACCTTACAAATCCCTCAAGAATTATACCCCAAATTCTTGAGAATACTCTCTCCCAAAGAGAACAATACAAATTTTGCAAACTTACAAGAAAATCCTCACAAGGCAAGATGTTTGCACAATTCTAGAACAAAGAAAGAACACTCAAGAATAATACAATTGAGCACAATAAGTGTTCTTGAAAGCAAAAATGAATATTGAATGAAATAGGCTTGAAAATGCTCAAACTTGAGGTTTGATGCTTTCTCTTTGATTCTCTCTTGATTCTTGTTGATACTTGTTTCTTGTTCTTGATCAATGGCTTCTAAGCTTGTTTAAATACACCTTCAAATGATTCTAAACGTTGGGGATGATTAGTGGAGTCAATAGAGTCGTTTAAGTGTGAAAACAATTACTGAAACAGCTTGGAGCGTGGGGGAATCGGTTCCCTAAGTGTAAAATTCAAATATTTTGACCGTTGATCAGGGGGAATCGGTACCCCCTTGGGGGGAATCGGTACCCTCCGAGCATTCTGTTTTTCTCGGAGCCAAACCATTCAGGGGGAATCGGTACCCCTTTGGGGGGGAATCGGTACCCTCTGGACATTCTGGAATTTTTGGCTTTGAAACGATTCGAAATACTTTGTAAAATTATTTCAAAATAATTTTAAGATTAAAACTTAATTTTACACTTGAGTAAGGATTAAAAATGACTTTTGAAAGATTTGGAGTAATATTTTGATATTCGAATAATTATATCGAATATACTTAGAAAATCTTAAAATTCATTTATCTTAATTTGTTATATTGAAATGTCAAAATGTTTTCAACAATATCCCCCTTTTTGATATAACAAAACATTTTAGTAATTTTAAGATTTTGAAATCAAGTTTTGAAATTACTCCCCCTTACTCTAGCACTTCTCCCCTTTAAACACTTTAACATTTCTTCCCCTTTTTGTTAAATCAAAAAGACTTTTAAAAGCTTTTAAACAAGGTTTTGAAATCATTTAACCAATTGATTATAAATATATATAGCTTAATCTGCTAAGATCACAATCAAGAGAAACGTTAGCCATTAGTTTCATAATCAATATTTATAAATAATGTGACATGGCAAAATTGGTCATATATCTAATTGATGTAAATGATGCAATAATGAATAAATTTAACCAAACAAAATATATAGAAATATAAGTTCAAACATCCATAAATTCAAAAAAATTCAAAGTCAAACAATCCACAAATTCAAACATTCCAAAATATCCAAAATATTAAAACAATAAGTTTGAAGTTTTGATCCAATAAAACTAAGCAAGAACAGGGCCTAATCGTCCATCGGTGCATCATGAGGAGATAAATGTGACCAAATATTGGTCACATCACGTGAAAGTGCATCGACCCTTTCGTCCAACGAATCAAAACGACGATTCATCATTTCAGTGGTAGCGATCAGATTTGAATCGATAGATACAAGCCTCAAATCAATGTTCTCCATAAAAGATCGGAAGTATGAAAGCATTTGATACTCTGGACGAGGTTGTTACTCTGGAGGTGCTTGTTTCTCGTGCTGCTCCGACTCATTGTCGGAGTCGTCTTCTTCCGGAGGTTGCTCACTGGTACGAACCCAAAGACCAGTTTCTTCATTGATCTTCCATCCCGATTTAGTTAAAGAAAATAGATTTATTTGGTTTTTGAGGGGAAATGAAGCATCAAGACCAACTCTAAGCCCAACCTTCTTAAACAGATTACTAAGAATACAACCGTAAACTAAAGAATAACATAATTTTTTATTGGGAACAAGATTTACGGTTTCGATAAGTTCAGAAAAGATCATCTGTGGAAGATTGATTTTGAGATTATTTTGGACACAATGTAGCCAAAATAAATATAAGGCTCGAAGAGTAGAGTAACGGCCTCCGGATGGTCAAAACCACCAAGAGATCATTAGGTGAAGAAAACAGTCATGAAGGTCTAGAACACTTGCACTATCCCTTCGCTTATACTGAGATCCTACCGTAAGTTTTTCATTGTCTAACCCTTCATTATCTAATCCTAATGCTTTGGCAATGGATTCTGAGTCAAGATGAAAGAAACGTCCTAGAAGATAGGATCAGATCCCTATGGTTAAGATTTTCTCTCGGTTTTTAATGCAAACGACATTAGAGTAAAAGATACGAACAAGTTGATGGTAGACAATTGGTTCAAGCTCGAAGAGTTTGTCAAATTTCCACTCATGAAGAGTATGAAGATGACGAAAATTGATGTCTAACATGGCTTGAAGAGATGGGATTCGTTCTTCCCGGATTTTGTAGGATTCAAAGTATTGACAAAACCTAAAGTAGAGATTTTGTTTACGATCGGGTTCATTGAAACAAGAATTGCTAATGGTCATGTTTGGATCATCGGGATTAGGAATAGGAATTTGTGGGATATGTAGAGGATTTGGAGGTGAGTTTGGAGGTTGGCTAGAACGACTAGAGGAGGCCCTAGAACGTTTATGAGACATGATTTAAGATAATCGGAATGGAAAGATAACCTGTAATTTTAAAAACATATGTATGCAAAATAATCAATCCCAAAACTCAATTGAGTCCTCAATATTTCAAGGTTCTTTATACCAATCCTAATGGGTAAAATATTTGAAAAAATATTGAAAAATAAGGTTTTGAGAGTCATTATATGTATAGTTTTCACAACAACAACATAAATCAATCAAAACACAATAATTTGAAAAACAGTTTTTTTTAATTTTGAAAATTTCAAAGAATTTTGGAAAATTCTTGTGTTTTTGATGAAATTAGTTGTAAAATCTAGTTTCTAATCACTAAACAATCAATGCCCGATCTAAATTTTAACCTAGAACTAATTAAAACTAGTTCTAAAATCAAAACTTGATGAAATAGAAGTTTTAGAAAAAAAATACCTTGAAGAATTTCAGATTTGAGTGAGATTAGATGAAGTTTGCACGATTTTGATGATTCCAACAGGTTTAGGAGATGATATTTGAATCCGATTAAAAACGTTGTTTTGATGAAATATAGAGATAGGGGAGAGTAAAGAGGAGAACGACGTGAAGAGAAGAAGAGAGGGTTTGAGTTTTTAGGGTATTCTGCCCGTGTTAAAAACCAGAACCCTAGGGGGGTATCGATTCCCCTACAGGGGTAATTGGTTCTCCTGTAAGGGAGGTATCGATTCCCTCTGCACTAAAACTGATAAATTAAGATTTTAAACACTCAAAATGCTAAATTAATTTTCTCTAGTGGTATTGGCAACTCATATATTGAAAATTAATCATGTTCAATCAATCAAATTTATCATTAAAAATTATTTGAACATAAAGTTAATTTTCACCAAGAATCATAAACTCCCCCTAACTAAAAGCAATGAATGCAATCAAAAATTACTATTATATGCATTTTTCATTTATTCTTAAAAGTGCTAAAATTATTTTAAGCACTAAGTGAAGATAGATTAGTTAAACCTAATTCTCTCCTAAGTGTCCAAAAACGTTCCTTGTCTAAAGGCTTTGTAAAGATATCCGCTAATTGATGCAAAGTATCAACAAATTCTAGAACTACATCTTCCTTAGTTACATGGTCTCTGATGAAATGATGTCTTATTTCAATGTGCTTAGTTCTAGAGTGTTGGATGAGATTTTTAGTGAGATAAATAGCACTAGTATTGTCACACTTGACAGGAATGGTACCTACTTCAATTTCATAATAAAAAAGTTGTTGTTTCATCCATAAAACTTGTGCACAACAACTACCAGCTGAAATGTATTCGACTTCAATGGTAGATAATGCAACACAATTTTGTTTCTTTGAAAACCAAGAAATCATCATATTTCCAAGGAATTGGCAAGTACCGGAGGTGTTTTTCCTATCTAATTTGCATCCTCCATAATCCGCATCAGAAAAGGCATGCAAGCTAAAGCTAGGGTCTTTAGGATACCAAAGTCCTAAACTATGAGTGTCCTTAAGGTATCTAAAGATTCTCTTAACAGCTAGTAAATGTGATTCCTTAGGGCATGATTGAAATCTAGCACATAAGCAAACACTAAACATAATATCTGATCTACTTGCAGTTAGATAGAGCAAAGAACCAATCATTGACCTATATAATTTAACATCCACACATTTACCTCCTTCATCTAAGTCAAGCTTTGTAGAAGAGCTCATTGGAGTGTCATGAGGTTTCCCATTTTCCAGTCCAAACTTTTTGAGCATATCTTTGACGTATTTAGCTTGATTGATAAAGATGCCATCTTTTCTTTGCTTGATTTGGAGTCCCAAGAAAAATGAGAGCTCCCCCATCATGCTCATCTTGAATTCGCTTTGCATTAGCTTAGAAAATTCTTGGCAAAGAACATCATTAGTAGAACCAAATATTATATCATCAACATAAATTTGAACTACTAATAAATCTTTACCTTTATGCTTTAAAAACAATGTAGTGTCAACATTCCCTTTTGAAAAACCTTTTTCAATTAAAAAATTTGACAATCTTTCATACCAAGCTCTAGGAGCTTGTTTTAAACCATAAAGTTCTTTTGCCAATTTAAGAACATGATCCAGAAATTTTGAATCTTCAAAACCTGTAGGTTGTTCCACATACACTTCTTCTTTAATAAAACCATTTCAAAATGCACTTTTAACATCCATTTGATATAATTTAAATTCATGAAAACATGGAAATGCTAATAACATTCTAATTGCTTCCATCCTAGCTACGGGAGCGTATGTTTCATCATAGTGTATGCCCTCTTCTTGAGTATACCCTTGAGCAACAAGTCTAGCCTTGTTTCTCACTATATTACCACCCTCATCAAGCTTATTCCTAAATACCCATCTAGTACCTACAATAGATTTATTACTAGGACTTTCAACTAATGTCCAAACTTTACCTCTCTCAAATTGATTTAACTCTTCTTGCATAGCCATAATCCAATGTTCATCATTTAATGCTTCTTTAATATTCTTAGGCTCTATGCATGAGATAAATGCCACATAATTACAAATATTTCTAAGAGAGGATCGAGTTGTTACCCCTTTGGATGGATCACCTATAATCTCACCATCCTTGACATAGTTGTATTCCCTTGGGTAAGAGACTTCCCTTTCTTCAATGGTTGGATTCTGGAGAGGATCATGAGTTTCCTCATTTTTTGTTTCTTCCTTTGATGATGGTTCTCCAACGTCATGTCTAACGATATTTGTATTTATAACACCTACATCATCATTCACACAAGAATCCTTCATCGGAAGGAGGTTATCATCGAAAATAACATGTATAGACTCTTCTACAACTAAAGTTCTTTTATTAAATACTTGATAAGCTTTAGAATTTAAGGAATAACCCAGAAAAATTCCTTCATCACTTTTAGCATCAAATTTGCCAAGATTGTCTTTACCGTTATTTAAAACAAAACACTTACGTCCAAAAGGATGAAAATAAATAATGTTAGGCTTTTTATTTTTGAAAAGTTCATATGGAGTTTTCTTTAAAATAGGCCTAATAATTACTCGATTTATAACATAACAAGCGGTATTTGTAGCTTCCGCCCAAAAATATTTTGGCAAATTATTTTCACAAAGCATGGTTCTAGCCATTTCTTCTAAAGTTCAATTTTTCCTCTCAACAACTCCATTTTGTTGAGGGGTTCTAGGTGCTGAAAAATTATGGCTAATACCATTAGAATTATAAAACTCAGTAAATCCAAGATTTTCAAATTCAGTTCCATGATCACTCCTAACACTAGTTATAGAGTAACCTTTTTCGTTTTGGATTACTTTTGAAAACGTGATGAATTTTTCTAATGCTTCATCTTTAGTACTTAAGAATAGAACCCAAGTATATCTAGAATAGTCATCTACCAAGACAAATGCATATTGTTTTCCACCCAAGCTAGTAGTTCTAGATGACCCAAAAAGATCTAAATGGATCAATTGTAATACTCTACTAGTTGACACATCATTAATGGATTTAAAAGAAGCTCGCTTTTGTTTTCCTTTAGCACAAGCATCACAGATTTTATCATTATCAAATTTTAGTTTAGGCAGCCCTCGAACCAATTCTCCTTGACCTAATCGTTTCAAAACACTAATACTAGCATGTCCAAGTCTCCTATGCCATAACCAACTATCATGCTCATCCTTAGCGACTAGGCATAAATTAGTCATTTCTATGGAGTCTAAATGTACCATGTATATGTTTCCTATTCTATGACCAACAAGCATAATTCGATTAGATGTAATGTCAATGACTTTACAACCATTAGTTTCAAATATGACATTGAATCCCTTATCACATAATTGACTAATACTCAAGAGATTATGCTTTAATCTATTCACATATAACACAATTTTAATTTGTATGGAAGAGGTATTAACTATTGTACCTATACCTTCAATGTGACCTTTTGAATTATCACCAAAAGTCACTTCTCCATTTTTGGCGTTAAGCTCTATGAACCGGCTTTTATCTCCGGTCATGTGTCTTGAGCATCCACTATCAAGGTACCATGAATTTGAATTTGTTTCTCGTGCCTTGTAGCAATGCTCCTTTCCCTACAAACATAGATTAATTTTTTATTTTTGGTACCCAAATTCTTTTG